AAAATAATATTAAGAGGATCGTTTTGTGTAAGAAATTTGAAAGAAAGTGTTTGGAAATTATTCTAAACAAAATTTTTGAAATCCACCCATTGTTCTTTTATGATCTTATTATAATTATATTGTTCGTTGTGTGATAAAGAATTTTCTTCTGTAATTCTATTTAATCATGATTCCTATTTGTATAATTATTATTAAGGGAGTGAAAAAATTTCCAAAGAAATTAAATAATGATTAGTATTAATTGGCGCTTCTATTATAGATGTGCAAATTGAATGTGAAATTAAATTAAGTGAAACAAAAATAATATCAATATAAGAGGTGTGATTAGATGAGTTTTTAAAGGTGAAAGAAGGTATTTCGTTATAAAGTTTAACTATATCTTTAAAAGTGTGAGTTTTTAAAGTTGTTAAAAGGATTTTATGATAAAACACCAAAGTCACATGATTCTTGTTATTATTATCACCATCAATATTATTAGTCAATAAAATAGAATTAGTTTTATGTAGGTTCACTAGGTTGATATTAAAGTTGCCCAGAATGATCATTCTTTTGAAACTATTTTTTGAGTTCAAAAAGGTTTTAACATGAGTATTAATTAATTTGAGTGTTTCTATATTATTATTAGAAGACAAAATAGGGGTAAATATAATCCTAAAATATGTAATTGTTCATGTCTTTTGAAAAAAAAGGTATGTTCTATTTTTTGAATATGTTGGTATAGTAATGACACAATACACCACTTGCTGATTGTGGTGATGGATTATGAATAATATAAAAGTCTATATTTTCATTATTCCGCAAATTTCATAGTATGTAAACGTGTTGTAGAAGATTTTATTGAATCTTTTAAATGAGTTTCAGTCAAAAGTAGAAAATAAATATTTGAATCAACCATATAAGAAATTAAATTGTGTTTTTTTGTTTCAAAGCCTCCTTGTAAATTTAAAGTTGTCATATTTAAAAATGAATGTGAATTGAAATAAGTATAATTTTGAAAACCCCCAGAAAAACCAGAATTGTTATTGTTATTATTATTTTTTTTGTTATTTTGTATGTTATTATTATTTTTTTGTGTTTTTGGATTTTTTTGTATATTATTAGAAGAAGAAGAAATAGCATAGTAAAAGGAGTAAATGGAAAAATAATTTAACAATCAGTATCCAAAAGTCACGTGCGATCCTGCAAATCAATCCGGCTACCATTTTTTCCAGGCGACGTTATGTAAGTTAATGATCACTGCCCTCCTGTCCGCACGCGTGATTAACCAAATAATAATTATTATCACGTGATCAGATGTGATGAGTTTGGAAAGTGCGCGTGATTTTAAACGAGTGCTTCGGACATTTACAACGGATCCCGTTACCTAGTATATTTGGTACAAAAAAAGTATTACAAATTTTAGATTATTTTTTGGATAATGACAACAAGGAAACATTTCATGTCTTCAATCAATGATTATTCTATCAAATCTATTACAAATGAAATTGAGAAAGAGTCATTAAATAATGATTTTGAAGACGAAGATAGTTTTTTCCGTCCTTAATGATAAAATGCTAAAGGCCAGTATCTGCTTATATTACGCTTAAGAGAAAGACGAAGTGGCGAGGGGATAGAGAAGGAGTTGGGCTACGTGCCAAAAACAACCATCTAAGTAACCCAGCTACGTGCCGGGCTAAGAACTAATACGTTCATTCGCAGTCCCTGGTGACCGGCTTTATCACTTCAGACTTTTGAGATTGTGTGAATTTAACCATTCTCTCTCACTTCTAAAGACTCAAGCACAGGGTGAAGATGTGAAGTCTAGAATCTTCGATCAGAAAAAAATAGATTATGCCTTGAACTCAAATAAGAATAGTATCGGAAAGCATTCAGCAGATGATGAAGGTATGGGAGATGCACGTTCATACAAGCATCGACGTGGAGAAGATGACGAACCCCAGAAGACAAGGTAGCCTCCTACATCCCAGCCATTCCAGTAGAGTCTTCTACTTCAAAAGATCCGGTAATCGATAGCAAAGGACGAAGACGTATTTAATATGATGTTACGTGAAACATATATAAAGATACGACAGGATATCCGCACTACTACAATATTTAAACCATTATAGTTAGTTTTAACCATTTTTACGATTATAAATAGATTATAGCCGATTTTAGCCTTTTTAGCGATTCTTTATCAACTTATACTAGTGAATAACATGTTTCAAATTTATTTATTTGACGAGCAGCATATATATGAGTTAAAAAAATGCTAGCCCAATATGAGCGAACTTTATTAATAAATACAGAGAATGTGAACCGAGTTCACAGTGGTGCAGTAAATATTATTTCACAAACTTGACCAATATATGGTAGATATCATCCTGGCTTAATTTTGATATAGATGCTACTGAAAAAGATTTTATTCTTTGAATCATATGCTCACCTATTTCGCTAAAGAGATTATAAATCTTTAGAGCCCATTCTTTTTTCTTCCGGAGCAAGTCATCACTAACTGAGCCTGGATGTTGTTCTCGAACTTCTTTATTTACCAATGCCTGAGCTGTTCGCTTAGGATTATTTTTCTTGTAGTGATCATAACTATTCTCAAGTGCTTTTCCGAAATTATAATATGATTTGATGATGTCTTGTCAAAGAGTTCGATCACTCTTAACTTCTTGTACAGCTTCTCTATGGAGCCTAATTTCAGAAAGTCAAGACATAATGCAGCAACACTAAGTTTTGGTATTGATTTTGTTAATACTCTTTCATTTAGTCTTTTGTTTTCTTTAGTAGTAGTATCACGAACCTTTGAGAGTATAGTATAGTTAAACTTAATAAGTAATAAGCAAAAAAGTAATACAATGCAGAAATCCACCAGTTTGCCGTCTGAGGACCGACACGAAACCTGGTGGCCTACCTTTACAAGTAGAAAATTCACCACCTGAGGGTTAAGTAAGGTTTTTTTACTTGCACTTCTGCCAACCGATCACCTGAGGGTTAAACCGGTAGACAGGATGAGGAGGATTCCATCTGAGAACTAACATGAAACTTGGAATCCTACCTCTACAAACAGAAAGTTCACCACCTGAGGGTTAAGTGAGGTCTTTCTACTTGCACTTCTGCCAACTGATCACCTGAGGGTTAAACCAGTAAACAGGATTGCGTTGAGAAGGTCACTGTCTGAGGACAAGCATGACATCTTCCCTTCACACTTCCAGGCATTATCCACCGTCTGAGGACCGGCATGGACAATGTGGGTAAAAAAAGAAAAAAGAAAAAAAAAATAACAAACCAAATATTTCTAATAATTAAAGTGGCTTATTGAAAGAAAGAAATTAGAATACATGAATAGAACTCAATATTTAAAAGTATTAGATAAGCAACATTCATGAATAGAAAGTGAGAGAAAAGAAACTACTATGATTAGAAGAGCAATTACTATGAAATAAATTGATTATCACTTAGCAAGAAACTGGCTGATAAAAATTACAAAATAAATCTCAGGTATCCTCAACACATCGCGGACCTTCGTTTCTTTTAGCCCTAAGTACAGATCGATTAATTTTTTCCATCAATGCCTTATTTCATCCCACGGAAAAGATGAATCATCAGAAAATAAAAGTATGATCAAGTACCTAATCTAAACACATATGTGGAAGATAGCCATCATGCTGAGGGCAGCTTTATATTGGCTCCGGCGAAAGGTATGGTGGCCGTAGCAAGCTCAGTTACGAGGAATGTCCGTCAGGAAGCATGCTGAGAGCATAAAGAGTACGTCGATTGTCTGAAGTGATGGGAATAGAGTATTAGAAAATACAATCTCTTAACATAAACCATATACCATTGCAGTTTCACTTATAATTTGTTGTAGATGCGATCAAAAAATTCTACTAAAAAATTGGGTTACTTAATGGATTGCACAATTTTTCAGCTAGGCTCATACCCGATCAAAAATCCGAATAATCAGCTGAATTTCTTGCTGTTTTTGGGAAACGGCTTTTGTAAAGAAAAATTTTATTTGTGGCTTAGTCTACAAGTCTCGAACATTTTTTATAAATATGAAAAAATTGGTATATGAACATGATTTATGTAAAAGATTAAGTTCCCGAACCTATAGTACCAGAGAATAAATAAGTATATTCCCATAATTTTTGATAAAAATAAACAATAAGATGGGTAATGGTCCTACTCAGTCCTACTCGCGCTGAGTTTGTTTCTCAAAATCACGAGATGATCGGCTAATCAGATTTCAGATTTTTTTTCCTTACACGGATGGGAATTCTTACAAATAAAATGCACGTGCAAAAAAAAATCCGAATAAAATGAATCATGTGGCGTAGTACTAGTACAGCATGTCAAGTGATAATTTATGGCGCAATACAATGATTTAGACTAAAACACATCTAGTTAACTCCGACGTGAGCGCAACGCTGATTACTTTTGCCAAATTTGTTGTGGCTCTGCCAACTGCATCTGGGGTCGTCTAAAGCCATGTTCGATCATGTGACTTGACATTTTATAAATAAGCCATTTTTTTATGAATTAAGATTAATGTAAGTATGAATGAAAGTTATAAAATAAGTGTATTTTGGCCTACTTTACAAGTTTACTTAGTGAAAAAAAGCTGGTTTTAAACACTGTTTTTGACTTTACATATGAACGAATAATCTTTGCCGATCATATCCAAAAATGGATGCTGAAAATGAAAAAATTCAAATAAGTCAAAAACGGTGTTCAAAACCCCATGTTGCGCATTAAGTAAACTTGCACAGCAGGCTAAAATACACATACTATATGTAACTTGAAAGTTTTATGTATTGACGAAAAAGTTTTATTTGTAAAAAATAAATTTTTACAAGTCACGTGATTGAACACGACTTTAGACGCCCCCTGCATCTGGCAAAGAGATGGACTTTATTTTTATTTACTATGCATTGATACAACTCGAGTTAAATTAACTAATAAAAACTGAAGTTAAAGTACATTTTTTTGGCGACTATTGGACAACATAAAATATATCACTTTTTTTTTACTTCTCTCTTGCCTATCTCTTTATTATTACCAACCTTTTTTGATGGGGGCGTATACGTCATTTCTGTAACGAATAGAGATGCTTTAATCTTTTCAGGTGATGTATAAAGGCCCGCTTCTATAATATATTCATGTAAATTATTTAAACTTTTTATAATCATTTCCTATAAACGATACAATAAATTTAGTTCATATATACAAGTACTAATTGAAAAAAATGTCTCAAAGAAATAAGGATGTGTACTTTAAATAGAAGGAATATCGGTATGCATTGACGCATCTGCACTATGTTGACTCAACTGGTTGGTAATTGTGATCGTATAACTTCTCTAAATATATATAATTCTCGAAATGGTACAGTCATTTCATATACAATTACATTGTGATCTACAATAATTTAAAAATTTAATAAAAGGCATAAGTGAAGATTATTTTAATACTGAAAACATTTACCGTATATCTGCAAGTCGTAAAGTTTCAATAGACTAAAAATTGAACTATTTCCACCGTAAATTCGAACTATCTTGTTTAACATTATTTTTAACATTTTTCTGATCTTTATTTTATCAGTGAAAAAAATGTTGTCATTGATTAGGAGGTCCGCTAGGTCTGTGGTGTTGAACTTGTTGATGATCTTGAATTAGAGTTTTCGTTACTAAGGGATGGATCATCATCGTTTCCCCTTTCATCTACATTCCTGCAGGTGGTTTTAGCCTGTTCATACGAGAAAATTTTTGAGGAATTCGCTTCTTGTTATGGGTTGCATCCTATACATACCTTCTTTGAAGCAATCAATTTGACCAGTTTTTTGTTCTGTAAATATAAAAAAGTAGTCATTAACAAATGTTTGCATAAAATTAGAGGTTTTATCAAATATCCTAACCTTTTTAGGAAGAGATAACTGTTTTCTTTGCTTCGTTGAGGGCGTTTTCAGAGGTTGGAAATCATCATCAGACTAAATACAAAAAGAAAGTTTATTTCTATCGGACAATCACCATCTCACAACTTTCAGCTAAAAAAAATTACCTCTTAGTTTCGTTTTGATGATAATCCATCCTAAAATATTAAATGAAAAATAATTAATTCCGCAGATTTTAAATTGACCAACACGACTTTAGATTATTCATTCCCTAAGAATGTGTCATAATTTCATGGATTATGTATGTTGCAATAATCTCACCTTCTTTAACAGTGTTGTAGCTTCTTCAATCATATCTCGATGATGTTTTCCTGAAATTATACGAATGTTATTGTATGTCGTGACATTTCTGGCCACAAGTTGGTTTACCTGCTTTACTCGCAGATTCCCAACATTGATACGAGCACAATCTTGTTTAAGATTATTTATGGATGTACTCCACACTGGTCGAATGACAACATATCAGAGAAAATTCAGGTACCCGATTCTTCACTAATTCTTCACAGATATATATATTATACAATCCCGATACTTATTCCCGATTGGGCTCAGGTTCTTGTTGCATTTCTGGATACAACAGGGCATAAATACTTCATAAGTATTGGATTTCTATTGGTGAAGAATCGGGTTTCTGTTATTTTACAAATAAACGCCCAATATTTACCAAATTAATAACTGAATCTTTTGAAGTTTTAATAAACTATAAGGTGCAAATCGGATAAATATTATGTTAATATCAGATTTCTGATATTTTACTTATATTTATATAATATTTAAGTATTTATTTGGGTTATCATAAAGTATCGTTAAACGATACAATACACGCCGGGCAGTAATTGAAATCACGATATTTCAAATTGTTTTAATCAATTTATTACTATTCGTTGCAATATATTATATAGCAATATACTAATCAATTTTACAGTAATACATTTGCTTGCTATATTTAATCGTTGTTATATAGAAATAAACTACAAATCATTCTTGCGTAATAAAATATAAACTACAAATTATTATTAATATACGTGCTCTTTTAAATCTAACATTGCATTAATGCATTAATTAAACCTGTTCATCAAGTTCGTTAGGTTCATCATTAATATTATCGATATTATCGATCTCATCTTGTGGTTGTACACTTGTACGTCGGATCCGTACGACTGTGATATCGACCAATCAGGGGCACCTTCAGGCGGTTTTGACTCATCGATCCACGTTTTATCATCATACCAACGATGTCGTGAAAGTTTTACATGACTTATTTTCTCACCAACTCGGTCAGCCAAGCGAAGTAATTTACGTCCCTATAAAAATGAAAAAGAGATAATAAGCAAATGTATACAATAACTATACAATTGTTTTATTTGATACTTACACGACGTGACCTCTAGGGCTTGTCATAAACATGAAGAACATGTTTATCCGTTTCAATTTTATTCTTAGGACGAACATGATCTTCGATTTCTTTTTTGGTGAGCTCTTCATCAGTTTCAGAAACTTCATCACTGTGGAATCCTCCTTCATTAAATATGGTTTCACAGTCTTCCTTGAATTCTTCCCAAGATAATGATGACGGTTGAAATTCTTTAAGCGAGGCATCATTAATATTGAACATATGCTCGATGCCTTTCTGACGTCGCTCTTTTTTCTATTGCAATCAGATATTAGTGATTAGGATAGAAAGGAACAAGATCAAGGATTTTAATTTCATATTTCGGATGTCTTCAGTACTTACATCTTTTCTTCGAGAATTCGTTCCTTTTCTCTTCTTTTCAAATCTAGTCTTATCCGGATCAAGGCTAACCATCCAGCTTTCTCTACGATGGCGGTGTAGATTCTGTAAGACCCATTTCAATTCTATATCTTTGTATTGAAACCTTCCGGTCAAGACTCTAGCGATCTCCTTCATGATGTGTTTTGAAACGTGTGGTGCAATTTCTACCCATTTTTTGGTATGATCCAATTGCAATGAATCATCGAGACCGCTAAGTATCTGCACGACCTCATCCTTAATTTTATAAAAAAATATCGATTAAAAAATTTTGCTGAATAACCAATAGTTACTTGATACTCACATGGAACAACTTATATTGATCTTCGTCCATATCTTCAAGCAAAACCCGAGCACGTCGACGATATCCAGTTTCTGGTTCTGGCGTGAGTGATGTATTTTGTCTACTCCTTGGAACTGGTGTTGTCTGAGGGGTTGATGGCCATTCAGCTTGTAGGTCGTTCCTTGTTTGAGATTTCTTGAGGGTCCGAACTTCTTCCGTAAGTGCAGTGATAGCTCTGCTTAGGGCTTCGATATCTGTAAATTGAAATCATGACATTATATTCAAAATATGTAAAATAAAAAACATAATTATTATATTATAACCATACCATCATTCCTATTATATCTTGTAGTTGAACACCCTCCTTGTTGACTTGGTGAACGACTATCTGAATAATTAGTCCTATTATGTCTTGTAGTCGAACGTCCTCTTTGTTGACTTGGTGAACGACTATCTGAATAATTAGAATAAGAAGAACGTCTAGACTTGTTCCTTCTTGAACGATAACGGTGACGACGATGTGGTGACATTGAGTTTGTTTGATGATGGTTGTAAGAGGTTAAATTTGTTGTAGATAAGCGTCTTAAGCTTATTTTCTTAATTTTGAAAGGTCTTCTTCCACGCATTTTTACCAAAATTTGTTAAAGGATAAAAAAAAAAACAATACAATAAGGTAAAAGACGTTCTTTTATACCTTTATTTATTTCCACAATTAAAATATTATGATTATTAATAATATTTTTTTTTTTTTCCTATAATTAGATTAAATGTAATGATTACGATTTTTTTTTTAATGATTTAGATCAAAGTATAATGATATGGCAGAGAAAAAAAAAATCAGTTCGTGGGAAGAAAGGGGTCTTTATATATATTTTTTTTTTTGTCATATGAGGACCGATAGGTCTGTCGAAAGTAACGAAATAGTCTATTAAATAAGCTTTTTTTGATTGAATTTTTTTTTTCCTTTTTTTTCATGCCGATAAGTCTATTGAAAATAACGAAATAGTCTATTGAAGTATAAGCTTTTTTTTGATTCAAATAAAGGAACTTATATTGATTTAAATACAATAAATATAATAAATTGATAGTAACCTAATATGGTCAACAATGTCAATTATCAATCATACTAATATATCCGTTCATCGAAGAACCGGAAATTCATTTTTAATAAAATTTTTTTATATTATTATTTACAATGACGAGAAAATACCGAAGAACAAAAGCTGTCTTTGTAAAGAAATCCTATAATTTTAAACAGAAAACATCAAATAAAGTTCCGTGTCATTGCAATAAATGTAAAGGTAACATGGTTGATCCACGTACAAAAAATAGTCATAGTTTAAAAAGGGATATTAGACCAAGAGGAGTTATTGAAGAAATTATAGATTTAAATCAAGTTTCATCTGATGACCTAAACCAAGATACATCGGTAGACCTCTTGAATGATCCAATGGAAATAGAATCACATAATTCAGATGATGGTCATCATGAACCTATTGTTGATGAGGAAAATTATTCGTTTCTTCCCAAAAAATCGAAATCATCAAAAGCCAAATCGAAAGATAAACGAAAACATATCGGTAGTGGAAATTCCAAGAATGTATCATACCCTATTGTTGTTATTGAACAAAGTATTTCAGATGATGATACTAGTGATGCTGATGATGAAGAAAACGATCAAGTTGATAATGACTTTGATCCTATCGAAGAAATACCAAATGAATCTTCATCCGGCTGGTTTGACGCACCGGAAAATACATACGGTGATGATCCAGAAGCCTCCTTCATTGATTTTACTGAAGACTTTCATTGGATTGTTTTATGGATCTTATTATATCAAGAGAGATATAAGTTATCCGATGTCACTACCGATTCTTTAGTCAAATTTTTTAGATATCTTTTGGTTCTTTTGGATGCAAACACGTACAATTCTTTTCCTACATCTTTGTATATGGCACGTAAAAAACTTGGCGTCTGTGCTCATATTGTCAAATTCGCATCGTGTGAAAAGTGTTGCAAATTGTATAATGTAACAGAAGTATCAACTAACGACCCTTACCAAGTTCCAGCCACAATTCATTGTACCTATGTAGATTTTCCGGATCATCCGATGGCAAATCAAAGAAAAAAGTGCAATGCTACACTTGCTAAGAAAGTTCCGGTTACTAACGGAACAATCTATCGACCTTCTTTAACGTTCCCTACTGTTAGTTTAAAACACCAATTACAATTAATGTATAATCGAAAAGGATTTGAGAAATTATGTAAAAAATGGGCGGACCGTAACGATTCTCAATTTTTGAATGATATTTATGACGGAAAAATCTGGAAAACCTTTCAGGATCATCGTCAAAATATACCATTTTTCCGGAAAGATGTCTCAGACCGCCACTTAGGCATCATGTTAAATATCGACTGGTTCTAACCATTCGATAATTCAACTTATAGTATAGGAGCTCTATATGGTGTAATATGTAACCTGCCTCGAAATGAAAGATTCAAGCCATCAAATATTTTGACAATGGCTTTAATTCCGGGGCCAAATGAGCCTAGTTTACATCAACTAAACCATTATATAGCTCCCATCATCGATCAATTAATCGAGTTATGGAATGGGATTGAACTATCGAAAACATACGAAAGCTCTACCGGAAAATCTATTCGAGCCGCAGTAATATGCTGCTCATGTGATATTCCAGCCGCGAGAAAACTCTGCGGTCATATCTCTGCGCGAGTGGCTTGTCATAGATGCTTAAAAAAGGCTCAATATGATGATCGAAATCAACCGAATTTTGGCGGATTTGATGATATTGATGAATGGTTTGTCGAAAGAGATATCAACCAGGTTCGAAGGGATGCGCGAGAATGGTTGAATTGCAATACTAAAGATGCTAGAAATAGTCACGTCCATAATACTTTAGTACGGTGGTCAGAAATGTATCGACTTCCGTACTTTGATTCAGTGCGATTTCTCACAGTGGATCCAATGCATTGTTTGTTCTTGGGTATTGCTAAGTGGATCGTGACTAGACTGTGGATCGAGGAGGGCCGATTGACACAAAAAGATTTAGAAACAATGCAAAAAAGGGCAAATGCAATAAAAGTTCCAGCAGATATCGGTAGAATTCCCTACAAAATTGCTACAGGTGAAGGCTTTTCAAGGTTCACCGCTGATCAATGGAAGACTTTTATCTTAATTTATGCCACTTCCATAACATGGGATCTGCTTCAAGAATCGGA